ATGGGCAGAGGCTCTGGGAGGCCCACGGGTGCCCTCTGGCGCTGAAGAGGTAATGTAGTCACAGTGACAAAGTTAGGTTACAAGGCACTAAGTTGCTTCTGTAAACTGTTACTGCTTTTTCTTTTGTGATTTGGCACTTAAGGCTTAAGCCAGAAAAAAGGCATCTACTGACAAATATGGGACTTGTCTATTATGCATGGTAAGTGGGCTATAAAATCATGGGGAGGGGGTTTCAAGCCAGAGGAAGCTACTGACAAATTGACTTGTCCTTGTTAGGTGGGTTAAAAGGGAGGAAAGAGGGAGGAGCATTCCAAGGTTCTAGGGGAAAGGGGTTGAGCTTAACCTTGTTAATGTAGGGGTTTGTAGGGTAGGACAGGAAGACTAGGGTAGGGGATGTAGGTATGTATAAGGTGGGGTGTTGGAGTGGGTAGGGAGGCCCTCCCTACCCTGGCTTAGTCATCTGAGATGGAAAGTCTGCTGAAAATGGGCAGGCGTCTTGAGTTGTCCAAGGTAGGGGAGTCTGAGCCACTGTGGCTGCTGCTGGAGCTGCTCAGGTAGCCCTCCTGGTCCGAGAGAGAATCCTGAGGGCTGGGGGGAGAGTCAAACATGTGAGGGGACTCGGACATGGGCCGGAAAAGGAAGGTGGTAGGGGAGCCACCCCCAGGCAGCCCCATGCTAGGGGCAAAGAGGCTTGCCAGCTCCTGGCTGGAGAAGGCAAAAGGGTTATTGGTGCCATCAGGCAGGGTGGGTGAACCCAGGAGGTCATCGGCGCTCAGGATGGGGGGTGGGGTGATGGACGTGGGGCTGTCCAGCAGCCCTGTGGCAGCGGCGGTGGCAGCGGCACTGGGAAACCCAGCAAAGCTAAAGCTATGCTGGAGGCGGGGACGGTCAGCGGAGAGGTCCCGGGGCCCAGCCAGGGCGCGGCGCTCCTCGGCATTGTGGATGAAGTGGCAGCGGGGCCCGTAGGGGCAAAAGCCGATGGTATGGAAGGTGCGGCACAGCTCTGTCTTGTACTTGGGGTGGCGGGTCAGGCTTCTGAGCTCATGGATGCCATGTGCGAACTGGCACTTGTCCCCGTACTTACAGGCACCATTCTCCTCGAAGGGGCGGCACAGCTCCGTCTTGTAGCGGCTGGAGTTGACCTGGCCACTCCCTGGCTGCTTCTGGGTGGGCAGCAGCCGCTCGCCCCCTTCTGAGAAAGAGCGGTCTCGGAAGCGGCTATCCCGAGAGCTCAGAGCTGGGGCTGGCTCACCCTTGAGGCTGCTGAGGAGCTGGTTCTGGTGGAACTTGGAGCTGGGCAGGGTGACTGAGTGCCTCCGGGGGAAGCCCCCACCAGTAGGGGTGCCCACCGCCTTCCTGTCCAGCAAGCAGCCCCCTGCACTGGGAGTACTGTAGTTGAGCATCTTGTTACCCTGGAAGGAAGAGAGAGGAGAAAGAGGATGGTTAGTGACAAAGGCCATCCACCAGGCCCAAAGAGGGTACCTGCTAAGGGCAGCCCCCTCCATAATCAGAAATGCCCATCTCCAAGGAACCATCCTCACCCCTGCCCTGGTAAACCCCCTCCCCTCCTCTCCCACAGACCAGCCACCTGGGTTTACTTTGGACCCATGCATTAAAAAATAATGACAAAATAAAAAAAATCCTGGCCTATGTGAGAAACTGTTTTATGCATGCACCCTACCTCATGCAGACCCCTGAAATGGACCCCTATATCCTGTCCCCAAAGCTACCACTTGTATTCATAAAATTCAACTTCTTTACCTCCCAAATAGATTCCTCAGTTCAAAATATCCCACATCACTCTAGACCTTTCTAGCTTGCCTCTTCCCCTGACAAAAACAGGTAAACCTTATTAGACTAGGAGCCCCACTCCCTTTTAATCAGTCCCGGCTTAGTTGACCACCCCCAAAGCCTGGCCTAAGACTCTTAACTTCCTCCTTTAGAAGTGTTCCCTTCCTTTGGCAACAGGTTTCCAGGCTGCCTTTGCTTTTATCTAGCTGGGGGGGGCAGGGGGGGAGAAATCCCCCTTTCCCTGCCTGGGGTTAGTGGGGGAGAGGGATGTGATTCCTGAAAATAAAACTCACTGCCCCATGCTCCAGAAAGGGGTGCCTTCCACAGTGCTCTCCCCAACATTCTCTGCCCATCCCCTCCCCCTCCCCTGGGAAGATGCCTTTGCAATTAGTCTTCTGGCTCCAAGAGCAAGCTGGAATAAGAGCGCCAGTGTTTAATCTTTAACGCGAAGCTGCAGGTGGGAAGGAAAAGGAAAGCACCAAATCCCCCCACCCGCCTGCCAGTCAATAAAGGATTGGGGGGGGGGGCAGAGCCACCACAGGGAGGTTTCTGTTCCAGTGGGACCCTGGTCCCCTGCCCAAACTGTACCCAAGATTTGGAAAGGGTGCTGGGGATGGTGGTGGGGAATGACCTGGGAGTTGGCTCCCAGCCCATGTGGGTGTCATTGTGCAAATTCTAAAGTTGGTCCCTTAGGATCAGCTGCCGGGGATCGGGAATCTGTAACAGCAACCACCCCACGGAGAGCGGATTACAGGAACCAAGTTGAGAGCTGGTTCTCAACAATGAGGTTCATTTAAAAAGTCCTGCGGGGGGAGGGGGCGAGAGAAAGAGAAACAGATCAAAGAGCGAGAGAGCGGGGCGGGAGAGAAGTGCGGGAGAGCTCCCGCGGCCGCCGGGGCAGCTGGAGTTTGGGAAAGTGCAGGGAAGGAAGGAAGCTGAAATTCCAACTTTGTGATGTTTCTCTTCAGCTCCTCGGCGTCCCTGCACCCCAACCCTGCAGCCCTGGGGCCTTGGCAGCTGCGCGGACTGGAGAAGCAAGCTGGGAAGAGAGAGCAACATGACCCGACGTGTTTAAAAGGAGGCAGAAGCACTTTAGCAATTAAAAGTAGCCTAGCAGCTTCCCTATTTCTTTAGGAATAAAACTGGGGAGAGGGAGCGAAAAAAATTTAACACCCATAGACTGTTTGGGTTTTTTTGCTCTGTACACTTAAACCGCCCTCCTGGAACATTCCGGGTTTAAAACTTGCTTTTTCTCACACCCGCTGGCCAGCCACAGGCTTAAGGACGCCCTATCGAACCTTCCTCGAGAAGACCCTTGAATTCAGGATGGCCTTTTTGTCCTCGTGTCCCCCTCCCCCCCATATCTACGAGCTGCGATCCCCCAGAAAGCTAGTGGGTCTCCCTGAGTCCCACTTTCACCCCCAAAGTTTGCAGCACGACCGTCTATCCCGGGAGGAAGACTGGCCGACTTGGGGCGACCTGAAGCCCCCGCTGCAGTTCTGCCGCGTCCTTTTGAATGACAACTCCCAGCCTTTTTCTCGCGGATTCCCAGCCGCTTGAAAACAGGAGCAGAGAATCTCCAGCCAAACGTCCGGAGACTCACTGCCCCGAGGGAGCCCCCCTCCCAACCCCAGAGGCCGGCGGCGTGGCCAAAGAGCCTCGAACCCCTCCGGTGGTGGGGATCCCCGGGGCGCACACCCGGAGACCGAGCAGACCCGGGAAACTGGGCTCAAGCAGCACGTGACCACCGAAAAACTGCCCCAATCCAAGCCAGTGCCCCGCGCCCCTCGGAGAGCCCCGCCACGCAAACTTAGCCCCCCAAAACTCTGGTCTCTGGGTTACATTCCCCTGCAATCCCCGCCGGAAACTGTTGCAGCTCCAAGGGTGGGGAGAAGAGGGCCGAATTCCTTCAAACTGGGGAGGAGGGGAGGAGCGGGGCGGAGGAAAAGAAACTATCTTGACTTTCCCCTCTGCCCCCCTGCTTTTCCCAGGCATTAGCTTTTGGGGGTTCTCTTTTTACGGCAAAAGGGAAAGTACTTGAAAAACGAACGCTCCGCCCTCACTTTACCTTGCATAAAACTTCGCTCAAGTCGAAGATGGTGGCAGACACGAGGGTGGTGGCCATCGCGGGCGCTCGCTCGGGGCAGGACGGGGTCTGGCGCGTCGCGAAGGTCCCGGTGCGGGGACGGCGCAGCCTCCGGCTCTCCGGTCTGGAGTCCCACACGCCGGCTCCCGGGCCCCTCGCCTTTCTGACTCGGGCTGCGGCGCGCGAAGTCCGCCTTATAGTAGCTCGGGGGGGAGGCGGAGTTTAAACTTATTTAAATGAGGAAGAGGAGGAAAAAAAGTTGATTGACACTGAAGTTGAATCAGCCATGCGGTCAAACTCGGAGGGGGCGGGGGGACTTTCAAAAGGAAGAAGGGGGAGGGGAGACGAGGAAAGAAGGCGAGGGGAAAAAAAAAAACCACTGAGCCGCGCACAACTTTTTTTTCTTAAAGAGGAAAAGTTTCGAGCCCGCTCGCCTCGCTCCCCGGCGCCCTGCTCTGCAGCCGCGCGCCCCTCCTTTGTCAGCCTGCGAGCCGGGTTCTGTGACATCACTCATTCCACCCTCTTTGGGGTTCTTGTTGTGTTGTTGTTTTTTGGTCGGGCAGGAAGGCGGGCTCGACTTTCTCTTTTTGCAAGCGCGAGCAGAAGCCCGTCCTGAGCCCCGCTGCGGTTTCCATCTTGAGATCTTTCCTCAAACTTCTCCAAGTGCTCCGCACGACTTACTCTTTTTGCTGAGTTGTCTTCCGCACTCGGCTGCCCTCCGCAAACCTGGCAGGGCTAGGGGGTTGGAAACTTGGGGCGCACAAAACCTTCAACGCCAGGGTTTTACGCTTTTTTCAAGGAGAAGGGGAGGTGGGAAACTTTCCCGGAGAAAGACCCGGCCTGGCGGGGGTGAGCGCAGCACCCTGGAGCGCTCCGCACCCGTCTACACTCGCGCTGATTTTGCAGCCAGCACTCTCCGATTGTAGGCCTGGGGATGGAGGGGCGGGGGCGAGGTGGCCGAGGGGCCGCGAAGAGCACCACCGCCCAGGCGGATTATTTTAGCAATACTGGGAGTTGTATTTATTCCGCGCATACAATCTTTAAACTGTTTCGTGAAGAAAACCTGAATCCTCATGAACTCCCCTCCCTTCCCCCACCCCCAAAATCCCACCCAGCAACACACAACTTTCCACGCGCGCTCTGAACTGTGGTCCGCGCCGAAACACACACGCGCACACACGCCTAGATGCTCGAACAATGAAAAAAAAGTTACTTTGGCAAGAATGAAGGTAAAGAGAGGGGGGAGGCGCCTCTTATTGTTGTTCCTCCCCCGCCCCCTCGGGAACGGAACATATGGCTTGTCACGCTGCGCTGTTTGGGCGGGACGGGGGGGAGGGGGCTTGGGATCTTCGAAACCGAAAGGCCCCTGATATTGTTACAACTTTAAAAACTGCAAAATTGTATTTATTTACTGTTAGGTTCCGATGCCCCTCCACTCACCCAAATAAAAAGTTGTTAACGTGTCCCCCTCCCGCCCCCGCGCCTTCGCGCCGGGGCTGAAGTGAGGAGCCAGGCGGAAACCGCAGGGCTGCGTTTTTTTCCTATTCCCCCGCGTGCCGGCCGCCTCCTCAGCCCTCGCACGTTTCTTCCCAGCACTCGAGGCCGGCGGGTCTGTTACGAAACTCGGTGCGTTGAGTGGCTTAGAGCGGGTTCCATTGCGATGTAATTAGGTCACCCCATTATGCGCACGTTTCTTTGGAAAGGACGGGGCGGGCGGAGTAAAGCGCTGGAGTCGCACT